AAGATGTTGGGCGTGGACCGCTCAGCTTGAGCGTGTGCGCGGGCTTCCTGCTGTTCGTGACTCCCGTGTTATCTTCTGGTGGCTTTTGTGCTTTATGACCGCCTGCCCTGGCTATCGCTTGACACGATCTTGGGTTTCACCTAGCCACAGAGACTAGCATCCCTCTCTTCTATTCCGAGGTATTAAATCTGTGAGGATGGAGCAGGATAAGGGGAAAGGACTTAAACGCAGTTCCCAATTTGTCTAGCTAGCCCAAGTCCTGGCCGCAGCAAGACAAGGAATTGGCGGACCTTGGGATTGCGGCCTTTTCAGTCGGCTCCACCCACGCTGGCAACGCCCGCGCGCCTCCCCGGGTGTCGGAGAGCGCCCTGGCGACACTTCCGGTCCCGCCCCGGAGGCGGAAGCTGTGCCTTGAAAGACTCCTCCCGCGGTGTGGCTCGGAATCCACCTAAGCATGCACCGCGCGTGTGAGGAGAGACCCGCAGACGATGGGAGCGACGAGGAGGACCCTGATTCCGTGGAATCCCCGGCCCGGATCCGGGACACCCCAGAAGACATCGTGCTGGAAGCGCCGGCCAGTGGGCTGGCGTTCCATCCGGCCCGCGACCTACTGGCTGCAGGGGACGTGGACGGGGACGTGTTCGTGTGAGTGTGGGGTAGGGCCTGGAGCACGGGTCTGGAAGCTCTGTCCAGGGATGGAGCTGGGAACAGGAGGCAGGAGAGAAAGTTACAGGGAGACAAATATTTCAAGACTGATTCGGTCCGATTCATTCAATAACATTAGGCTTTAAACTAGTTAACGCAAAAATCTGTTCAAAGAACTGAATGGAGGACAAAGTAGCTGGAATGTCGTGACGGAGCCCAGAGACCGTAGCAGGACAAGAAGGCGTCTAAGGCCCTGTTATTTCCCACTGGATTATTATACTGAGCCTGAGACAGGCTCAAAAGGCCTCTTGCTTTTGCTCCTTGCCCCTTTTATTTAATTGATCTTTCAGAAACACAAATCCGACTGGTCACTCCCTTGATTAAAACCCTTCAGCAGTCTGCTTTTAGGATTTAGTGCAAACTTCTTAATCCAGCTTTCAAGGCCCTGATCATCTGACCTTTCTCCGCCCTTTTGCTTTCTGTGCTCATTCATCCATACTTGTTAAAACATGTCTTAGCCAGCCTAAGCAAAAGGAGACCCATCTCTACTAAAAATAGAAAAACTAGCCAGGAGTCGTAGTACGGGCCTGTAGTCCCAGCTACTCAGGAGGCTGAGGCAAGAGGATTGGATCGCTTGAGCCCAGGAGTTCTGAGTTCTCAGAATCTCTTCCCTCTTTCTCCATGCCCAGAGCTAAACTGGGTTACCTGTTAGATGTAACCCAGTTTGTGTAATTATTTGAATGCCTTTCACTAAAGAAATGTTTTTCAAACCTTTTTGACCTTGCCCCACAGAAAAATATTTTTTACATTATGTATGATGCTCTCTGATAATTTCTGGTTTATTTTATTCTATTGTTATTGTGTGCACACACAAAATTTGGATTGAGCTCATTAATGGGTCATATGACTGGAATTTGAAAAACCTGGGTATGATCTGTAGTCCATTTTGTTTTCTATTTTATCTCCTGCCTCTCGTTGAGAGTAGGTGCTCAATACATGTTTGATTTTGAAAAGACTCAGGCTAGAAGCAGTGGAAAGTCATTGAAGGTTTTAACCAGGAGAGTTGTGTTTATCAGATTTACCTAATGAATTTAAACCTCAATCCCTCATTAGCTTCCCTTGGGCAAATTAACGTCCGTATTTGCCTTTGTATCTTTGAAAAGGGGAATAATAATACCTACCTTGGAGAAGGGACAAGCGTTCAGTATAGCACCTGAGCAGTTGTTCAACAAATGTAGGTTTCCTTCTACTACCATCCATATTTACAGTGCCAGACACTTGGGAGTTACCCTAGACCTCTACCTTTCTTTACAGCCCCCACACCTTCACTGCTTCAGTTTGTCTCAGAAAAGGTTCTGGAGGGGATCCCTTGGTTCTGGCCCATTCCCCTCTTTCCCCTACCTTCAGGTGTTCCTCTGACTTCTCCCATGACCCTTCTGAAAAGGTTTCTTTTCCCGGAAGATTAAATTCTGACAGATATCTGCTTGCCCACATGGTCTGAAGCCTAGTCTAGTCCGTCTTGCCAGCTACTTGAACCCTCTTCATTCCTTATTTGTGCCCTAGAAGGGACATGAACATCTCCCTCCAGTATCTGCCCTTTGTTCTCTGTCAGGTGAACTCTTATTTTTCATGATCCAACTCAAATGTCACTTAGTTAGCTTTCCAGGGCTCTCTTCTCCCTTCCCAAGTATTCATTCAATCTGTTAATGTTTATTAAGCAACTTTTTAATGCCAGGCACTGGGACGGAGAAAACAATGAGCAGACTTAGTTGTGCCCACTTGGAACTCACTGGCAATTAAACATATATTCATTCTGCTCTTTTTGAGGATCTGCCCTGAGGTAGGCACTCAGAGGGACATTCTCCGGAAAGGTACTTGCCTCAAAGTTGAGTTTATAGGCTGCTGCCTCTCTGCTCCATCTCCATTTTGATCCTATCTCTTTTTCAGCATGTAGTCTCAACATGCTGTAATTAATTGTAGCTTTCTCTAGTTCCTGCAGACCTGAAGTACAAGAGCTCACCCTTTCTTACTGATTTTTTTCTTTTTTTTTTGAGAGAGTCTCGCTCTGATGCCCAGGCTAGAGTGCTGTGGCGTCATCCTAGCTCACAGCAACCTCAAACTCCTGGGCTCAAGCAATCCTACTCCCTCAGCCTCCCGAGTAGCTGGGACTATAGGCATGCACCACCATCCCTGGCTAAGTTTTATATATATATTAGTTGTCCAGCTAATTTCTATTTTTTTTTTTTTTAGTAGAGACGGGGTCTTGCTCTTGCTCAGGCTGGTCTCAAACTCCTGAGCTCAAATGATCTGCCAGCCTCGGCCTCCCAGAGTGCTAGGATTACAGGCGTGAGCCACCATGCCTGGCCTGCCTTACTGATTTTTACATTCCCAACTTTTGGGACTGGTTTTCTGTCCTTGATTCAAATATTTCCTCTATGGTCGTTCAAACCCAATCTTTCTGCAGGCTGGGGTTTTCAAAGATGATGAAGAGGGGTGGGACGAGGTCACAAAGAGGTCTTGAGCAAATGTACCTTAAATTAATGTATGTTGAATGAAAACAAGGCCTAACATTTGAAACTCATTCAAAATGGAAAAATGAGATGGTAAGCTTTTTGGGATTGGAGATGTGTGAGCTGGAACTCCTAGGTAGGTGGGAAGGTTGGTCTATGCATTTCATGGATCCCAGGTGGAGTCTGGGGTCATTCACCCTCCTCCCTCTTTCCCTAGCTTTTCGTACTCTTGCCAAGAGGGAGAAACCAAGGAGCTCTGGTCATCAGGTCACCATCTTAAGTCCTGCCGAGCTGTGGTCTTCTCTGAAGATGGGCAGAGTGAGTACTGGGGAAGGCAGCCATGTGATGGTGGGAAGGGAGCCGTGAGCAGCATCATGACCTGGGCACCTTTTCCCCAGAACTTGTTACTGTCTCCAAGGACAAAGCCATCCATGTTCTAGATGTGGAGCAGGGCCAACTAGAAAGACGTATTTCCAAGGCTCATGGGTAAGAGGAGCCAATTATGTGTATGTGTGTGGGGGTGAGGAATAAGCACTGGCAGGTCCCCACTGGGACAAAGATGCTCCAAGAAGTTCCCTGTCTGTTTCCAGTGCCCCCATCAACAGTCTCTTGCTGGTGGATGAGAATGTTTTGGCCACTGGGGACGATGCAGGTTGTATCCGTCTCTGGGACCAGCGGAAGGAGGGCCCCTTAATGGATATGCGACAGCACGAGGAGTATATCGCAGACATGGCTCTGGATCCAGCCAAGAAGCTGCTGCTCACAGCCAGGTACAACCTCAAAGCTGCCTCCCTTCCTCTCCGTGTTAAATGTCTTCCCAAAAGGGAGCTCTGGGCTAAGCCTGCTGCTCTGTTCTCTGTAGTGGGGATGGCTGCCTTGGTGTCTTCAACATCAAGAGACGCCGGTTCGAGCTGCTCTCAGAGCCTCAGTCTGGGGACCTGACTTCTGTCACCCTCATGAAAGTACAGCTGGGTACGGTGGGGTGGGGATGTGTGTGCTAGGGGCTTGGTCTAGGGCAGCTCCACAGATATAGTTTGCCTCACTTTCCTGCAGTGTGGGAAGAAGGTGGCCTGTGGCTCCAGTGAAGGTACCATCTACCTCTTCAACTGGAATGGCTTTGGGGCCACAAGTGACCGCTTTGCCCTGAGAGCTGAGTCCATTGACTGCATGGTTCCAGTCACTGAGAGTCTGCTATGCACTGGCTCCACCGATGGAGTCATCAGGTGAGGGAAGCCAGGACAGCCCTCAGGTCACAGGAGGGGTGGGGGCCCAGCTAGCCAGTACCCAACACTGTTCTTTCCTTGCCAGGGCTGTGAATATTCTGCCAAACCGAGTGGTGGGCAGTGTGGGCCAGCATGCTGGGGAGCCTGTGGAAGAGCTGGCCCTTTCCCACTGCGGCCGCTTCTTGGCCAGCAGTGGCCACGACCAGCGCCTCAAGTTTTGGGACTTGGCCCAGCTGCGAGCTGTGGTGGTGGATGACTACCGTCGGCGCAAAAAAAGAGGAGGATCACTGCAGGCCTTGAGCAGCAAAGCCTGGAGCACTGATGACTTCTTCGCAGGACTGAGGGAAGGAGAGGACTCTGTGGCTCGGGAGGGAGAGAAGGACAGTGAGGATGACAGTGACTGAGGGGATGAACTGAATCTTAGGACAGGTCGTCACTGAACGAGAGAGTCTTGTTGGGCTGGACCCAGAGAAGATATGGATTTATAATACCCTATTGTGCAGCACAAGATGATGTACCCAGGGCACTGATGTCGGGGAGGTACTTGCCCTGTAGCAGCTATTCACTCTACCAGTGGGAGACAAACCCTAAGCTGGGGCAAGACAGCACAGACACAAGTGTGTACTAACCAGGGGTTTAATATAAATACAACCAGCATACAACAACTCAAAACTATACATAAGCCAAAACCAGAATGCCAGTGGTAGGGACAAAGGGCAGAATTTCTGACCCTTTGGCTCAGCTGGCCCCCCAAATAAAAACCAACAGAGAACAAATTAAGACTATAACAAAGATTCATGCTAAGCTTGGGGGGGGGTAGTGGTGAAAGGGGGTAGGGTGGATGCATGTCATACAGGGAATAGCCAAGGAAGACCGACCACAGGGTCAGGTTAGATCCTGAATAACAAAAGACAATGAAGGCAAGGTCCCTCACTACAACTTAAACCAAACGTGAGCTGCCCCCAGGTGCCATGGGGCCCTGCCCCAACAGGGAGGATGTGTCAGGCCTGGGACAGCATCCATGCCCCTCCTCCCCTTGGGGTCAGATAGTGGTGGCCCAGGCCCGCTGGGCTGAGAACTGACACAGGCTCTGCCTGCCCATTCAGGGCTGCCTGTGGAGAGAGAATGAGTTCACTGCTTAACAGTGACACCGGCCTCAGCCCCAGCAGACCACAAGAGGCTGGCCCCAGACTCACTCAGTGCCTCCAGCAGCTGTGCAGACACAGCATCCTTAGCCACCTCGTGCCCATCCTGCCCATCTGGGGCCAGCACAACCCAGATGAGGCCGCTGAAGGGCACTGGATGCCCAGGAATCACCACCTGGTACCAGAAGTGGTGCCAGCCAGCAGGTCCCGTGCCCAAACACTTGGTGAGGAACACTGGGCTACCCAGCTTCATTTGTTGGCACAACAACTGTAGGGCAGCCCGAGCCCCTTGGGACCCTAGCTTGTCCCTGGCCAGGGACAATCGGCTGCCCTCTGGTTGTAGGCACCTCAGGGAGGGCCCCACAAGCTGTTGGCGCAGTCGCTGCTTCAGGTCTGGCTTCAGCCACTCCACAGTCACCTGCTCTCCACAGAGGTGTGACTGCCCTGCAGGAAAAAGGCAGAGATAAGGGCAGGTCTAAGCCCTGGGCCCAAGCCTCCAGACTCTGTGAGCCCTTTGGAGTTAGGCCTTTGTTTAATTTGCATTCTCCCCATTTCCTGGTAGTGTGACCTTGGGCAAGAGAAGACAATGAAGCCTTCTCTAGGATCCATTATCTTTAATTGTAAAGGGGGTATAATACAACTGCTGCCTCCCTAGTTTTCTTGAGTATTGGTTGCTTCGGGCTTTCTCTACCTCAGAAGCATTGTAATGCCTAATCTATACTGAGAATGCTTGCAATGAGTCAGGAAATTCAAAGCTAAGTACCACATGCCCATTATGTTAACTTAATTCTCACTACACTCTGAGGAAACAGGTTCTATACTAGATAAAAGGTAGACTCAGCTGGATTTTCTTGGGCAAGTCAATGTCTCTTAATACAGTTTGCTCGTCTCTAAAGAGAGGATGATTTCTCTTTGCGATGTTGAGGACTAAGTCAGGAGATAATGCACAGGAACTGTTCTAAATTGAGATAAGCGGTGGTGGTAGTAGCATCACTGGAAATACTTGATCACTGGAGATCAAGTATTGAAAGGTTGTAAACTCAGGCATGCCTCCCTCAAGATTATTTTATCCGCTACGTATAAAGTGCCTGGCAGAACGCCTTTGGCCCCAACCAGCCACCCCCGCAGCTTGCACCCCTACCTTCCACCAGGGCCTTTTTGGCCATGGCGGCCGCGCGGTGCGAGCTGAATTTGAGCAGCGCGATCTGTGCGGGCGCCGGCCCGGGGCTGGGCAGCAGCCGCGCCTCCTGCAGGCCGGGACCCAGCGGCTGCAGCGCAAGCAGCAGCGCGTGGCGGCTCAGACTGGGCGGCAGCCCGTCCACGCTCAGCTCGCACTTCTCCGTGCTGCGGCACACGAGCAGCGGGCAGGACGGCCGCAGCGGGTGGTTGTGCAGCGTGGCGATGGCAGCCTGCGCGCCACGCCGCGAGCTGTAGCGGGCGTACGCGAAGCCGCGGTTCAGGCCGCTGAAGGTCATCATCAGGCGGAACTCGTAGAGGCGGCCCACGCGCTGGAACAGTGGGATCAGCTGGTGCTCGTACACGTCCTGGGGCAGCCGTCCGATAAACACCTCTGACCCGGCTGGCGGCGGGCTGCCCACCCAGCCTGGGAGAAGGGGGTGTGGAGGGGCACCGTCAACCACCGGATGGTTCCGAATTCGGAGCCCATGGACCCAGCGCGGGGAGGGGGCAATGTGAGCGAACTGTGAAGTGGGTACAACGCCGTGCCCCGGGTCGCTGACATAATTAGGTAACTGAGCTAACCATGGGGCTAGCACAGACTGTACCTTAAGCTCCCATCCTCTATGGGGCGGGTGTATGGGGAGCCAGAGACAAATTTCCTCATCTGCCTGGGGGTATAAATCCGGGTAGTTCGGGGTTTCTGACTGTGGCGGAGCTGGGCATACCCCTCCCCCAAAGGGGGCTGTTCTGGGCCGTCGAGGCCTCCCTAGCGTGGCAGGCGTAGGGGCTGGGGCTACCGTACCTGGGGGTGGCCCGCCATACTTCCTCTGCCCGTTCACCTGCACCAGGCGGATGCCAGTCTCCCTGACCCACGCCTCCAGCGCCGCCTTATTCTCTGGATTCACCCTCTCGCACCATAGCTGCGAGGGAAAAGGCGGGTTGCAACGCAGGATCGCAGAGCCCGCCCCCACCTCGCTTGTGTTGGCGTCCTTGTAGCCACCCGCCGCGCAAGTGGGGCTCTTTGGCCCTCTCGTGGCCCCCACTTACCTCACACTCCCGCTTGGACTGCATGGTCTCCTGCGGGCCCCCTCGTACCCTCTTTATAACTTCCTCCCCATCAGCCTCTGGAAACTTCCCTACCCCTCCACCCCGCAAGCTCTCATTGGCTCCGAGCACGACCCCGCCTTCCAAGGGGGTGGAGGTATCCACTGCACGTGCGCCGCGGGGCCTCGGACCCTCAGGTGAAAGCTGGAAACGCTAGTAGGCGGCCTAGCCCGCCGCAGCCTCCTGAGGTGTGGCTCACAAACGCAGGGTGGACCCTGGAGGCAAGAACCTCAGGGTCGCCCTCACCCCTGGGGAGGAGCCTGTGGCGGTGTACTGCCCTTCTCCCCTTCCCACCCCTAAAGTGGTCTGAACCAGAGGCTTGGGCTCTGCCGGGAAGGCAGGGCTAGGCAGTGAGACAGGCAGGCTCCGGTGGTTTAGGCGTTTTATTGGACCTTTGGCAACTGGTTGTGGGGAGGCATCCGCTCTATCTGGTGTGGGGCCCAGCAGATCAGCCCATCTCAGGCCGGGTCCCTTTAGCCCGGAAGCAGTCTGGACTAAGCCCCCAGGGCCTTCCATGGAAAATGGACTAGTACCTGGCCATTTTTGCCAGTAATTACCAATAAAATAATCATAATAAAAATTTAAAAGTCTGTTCTGACTACTGTTCAGGTAGGTCTTCCTGCTGAAACAGAAAAGTGCAAAGCTTGTTGAAGCACATACACAGTTTTGTCTTTGCCTCTAGTGCCAGTCCCACTTTCTTCCCTCTGATAGTTTGCTCAGTTCAGCAGATGCAGAGGGACTGGCTTGTTCTCCTTTTGATTTCCTCCACAAGGTCTTCTCTTCGGACATCCACCTGGCCAGGATGGGGGAAGAAGGTGGTATGAGCATCTGCCACTCCACTGCTCCCTCCTCTAGTCATCGGGCTTTGCTCTGCTGGGAGCAGGAACCCAAACACTTCAGGACAGACAGTGCCTCCTGGGGGAGCCAAAAAGTCACAGGGTGTATGTGGGGATGGAGATCTTACCCAACCATGACCACAGTTAACAGGTTAAGCCCTTAGGTCCTTTATGTGTTGCTGCTAACATGAATGCCAGGCTTTTGCTCAGGTCTTGAATGGGCATGGGCCTGCCAACATGGCATACATTCCCTGTCCCTTAGCATTCCTGCACCCTCCTCACCTCTTCCCTGCTAGCCACTGAACGGAGCTTGATGACCCCATCCTTGAGCTCCTGCTCGCCGATGATGGCCACCAGTGGGATGCCTGCCTCCTCGCAGTACTGCAGCTGGTTCAGTAGCTTTGGGTTCTTCTTGTAGATCAGTTCGGCCTGCAGGGGACCAGAGCAGAAGATGAAGGCTGGCTTCTGCTGTCCTCAGGGACAACCTCCTGGGGGCCCAAGCTAGCACCTTGCTCTTAGCTCCACCCCAAGCAGGGTCACTATGGGTGGCCTTTGACTTAGGTTCTGCCCAGCACTGTCAAGTTTGCTGCCACCCTGGGCTTGCCTCCTATACCTTGATCCCAGCATCCCACAGTTCTGAGACAAGCTTCAGTCTCTCCTCCAGCAGCTTCTTTTGTGCAGATGCCACAAGCACCTGTGTCTCTGTGGTCCGTACCTTCTCCTCCAAAGCCTGGGAAAAGGGCAGATAAGAGTCAGAGAGCTGGGCTAGCACCTTCAAGCAGCAAACAGAGCAGGCTTTAGTCAGGATTTTGAGAGACCAGGTCCAACTCGGTGAGCTCCACCAGTCTTCGCATCTCGCAATTGGGTATAAGGTAGCTCTTGGAAGATACAAGAAATGAACTGACTTGCATGTATGACTTGCCAGAGTAAATAACCTAAGGAAAAGGTAGCTTATTTACAGTAACTTCAAGCTCATCTCCATCTACTATCTTAAGGGTTCACCGGATCATTCACACAGAAGTACTACTATGAGCCCACCCCAGGCAATCACATCACCCCTGGCAGTTCTAGTGCCCACTTACTATCTGCCCATTTATGAGACTATGCCTCTCATACTTCAGTTATTGGGTACAACCCATATGTGGACGCGGGGAAGGGAGAACACTGCTGCCCCTTGTCTTTTTCTGGAAAATTATTTTCATAGTTCTTACAACATAAGATGTCTACTAGAATAATGACCTCGAGTGGGAAACAGGTGGTTTCCACCCTAGAGAAAAGGCCTAGGAATAGTGGGAAGGTTGTCAGAGCATTCCTCAGAGATGAAATGCAACCAGCCATTTAAGAGCAGCAGCAACAAAGGAGGGCTGGAGGCCATGAAAGGCTTCCTTGATGTTACTCCAGGCAGCCATCTGAGGGATCCCAGGGCCTCAGACACATACTTCTCACTTAAAGACAATATTACAGAGTGGTTAGGGGCAAGATTTTGGAGTCACACTGCTTGCATTCAAATTCTGACTCTGCCACTTGTATATTTCATGGCCTTGAGCTAATTACTTGACCTACAATGCTTTAGTTTCTGCATCTGAAAAATGCAAATAATAAAAGTAGCTAATCTCAGAGGGCTATTGTAAGAATTATATTAACTAATGCATGAAACATACTCTCTCTTCCCTACAAGCACAGTGCCTGGCACATGGCAGTAAAATGTTAAGTATTCTGTATCATGAGGAAGATCTGGGTCTTGGATACACCAGCCTAGATTCCTGACAGCCACAAGGGAAGTGGGAACCCAGAGCATAGGATTTCATAGAGAAAGAAAGATTAAAGATCCATAAAACTGGCTATAATGGGGTAGGAATCTGTGAAGTACAGCTATCACCTTTTCTTCATTTCTCTGAGAGATGCTTCTTGCCCAAAATAGCATTATTTGCTCCCTTGGAGATTAGAGATTGCTTGGGTGCCACCACCTGCTCAGACTGTCTTTTACCCACCCCTGAGGACCTACCTCTAGTCTTTGCTCCACAATGGAGAAGATCCGCTCCACTCCAATGCTGAGCCCCACGCATGGCACCTTGCGCCCTTTGGGATCGAACATGCCCACTAGCCCATCATAGCGCCCTCCAGCAGCCACACTGCCCACACCCAGGGGCTCTTCCCCTGCCTGGGCTGGGGTCTGTAGCAGCACTGCCTCATAGATCACTCCAGTATAGTAGTCCAGCCCTCGAGCAAGGCTCAGGTCAAAGGAGATCTGTGGAGACAAGGACATGGTCAATACTAGATTACAATCAGGGACCTGAAGCCCCAGAACTCAGCCGGGGCTCCCATCCCCAACTTGACTCGCCTTGTCATCAATGCCAAACAAGGTCAAGTACTCAAACAGCAGCTTCAGGTCTCTCAGGCCCTCCAAGGCCTGCTTGTTTTGGGATAGTTTAGGATCCTGGAGCAGCTGCTCCACCAGTGACACCCCACCTGGGGAGACAGATTTATGAGTGAGACACACTGACAAGGAGAAAAAAAATGGAGTCTACCATTTTGCCTGGACTCTAACTGCACACGCATGTGTGTGCACACACATATTCTCTCTCTCCAACATATACACACACATACCCCAAAGAATTTCAACTTTAGGATTAAGGGCAGTGGGATGCTGCTGGGGTGGCTGGGTTCAGCTCCTTACCATGCTGCTGGACGTAGTCCCCAATGCGGTCAGCCACCTCAGGTGCAAGGCCCTTCTCTCCCACCATCTCATTCTTCACTTCATCCCAGGACACCTGGGCAGGCAGATACCAGTCAGGAACCTCCGGGCAGCTTCCTCACCACAGAGCGAGTGTCACCCCTCCCTGGGGAGCAGTCTTGGAGCACTAGCTACCCTCCAACCTACATCCTGGGGCTAATCTTCCTCTGGTGGGCACAGAGGCAGGGGCACCTCTCCTAATCTTCTTTTCCATTTCTCAAGGCAGGGTGGGATCCAGGAAAAGAAGAGGCAAGTGCTTGGGTCATTACCTTGTCCAGCTTGTCCACTGAGGAGCAGATGGTACGGAACTTGCTGTCAGGAACACCACAGATGGCAAACATCCCGTCTAGGATGCGCCGATCATTTACCTGTGGGGACCCAAGGCATAGTGAGGAGAGAATCTTTTTTTTTTTACATGACCCTCAGTAGCCTCAGTCACTTGGGCTACTGGTCTGTCTGCACAAGGACCTTCTCCTATGAGAGGCCAGACCCTACGTTGCCCTCCCAGCCCCACCGGCTCTGACCTTGACCAGGAAGTCGCCTATCTGAAGTGAACTCAGAATCTCGCACATGATCTTCAGGCACTCTGCGTCAGGGATCATGGGGTCAAATTGCCCAGCAATGTCAAAATCCTGCAGGGAGAGGGGTAGCTAGAGATCCTCAGAGGTTCAACCTTCTTAAAAGGGGACTTCTGGGAGTTTTGCTCTGTATGAAGGCCTGTTTGAACTCAAGCCACAGACCTTCTCCTTCATTGTCTATGTCTGACATCAGACCAGAGGAAAACCCCCACATTTTTGGGCCTTTTACCAGTCCTAGTTTTCCTTTCCATATATTGGGCTATTCCTCCATGTACTACTACTTCATCATCACCTTCTTTAATTCCTCCTACTGCTATGGGGCAATTATATGGCCTTAGTGCTTAACCATTTTCTCTATTCATCCAGAAGCCCTGCCATCAGTCTGGATAATTTGAAAACTCAAATCTAATTTCTTGATCTGATGCCATGATCCTATCATTGTGGTTTAATATAAGGAGCACTGGACCAAGGTTTCTAGTCCTGACTTTGCCTTTCTTATCCTTATAGTCGCTTCATCTGCTGAATATCAAGTTTACTCACATGAAGAATGGAGAAGATTTTACTCTCCTCCCTTCCCCACAGCACCATTGTGAAATCTACATGAAAACACCATAGAATCCTAAGAGCATTAACTGGGACACCTAGTTTGCTTAGGATACCAGGAGTACTCAATAGTTTCTACTAGCTTGAGGGAGCACCTAAGTTACTCATCCTGCCCCACAGTTTCCCAACACTCACACACTGGTAGAATTCCCGGTATCGGCCTCGGGTCATGGCTGGGTTATCCCGTCGATACACCTTTGCTATGTGGTAACGTTTAATGTTGGTGAGTTTATTCATTGCCAAATACCGAGCAAAAGGAACCTGATGACAAAGAGTTAAGGAGAAAGCCCATCCTATGACTGTCTGGAAGTTGATTATCAGTACCAACAGAAGCTGGGGTCTAACCTCTCCCTGTGCAAGTAAAACCACCACCCGTAAGATTAACAGCATTTCTGGACATCAGAATGAATCCACTGTGCTACCACAAGAGGTACCTGAAGTACCAAAAAAGATTAAGGCTACTTTCTCTTCGATAGTGTCTCTCCTGGACTATGTTGAGCATGGCATGGGGCTGGGCAGATTGGCCATGGACCAAAAAAAGGGCCCCATGTGAGATTTTTAAGCAGGTGATTCTCTGTGTAGCTTGGAAACAAAGGAAATGTGTTGTTGGTCCGTTAAGGAGAATTTAGTCCACTGGACAGGCCAGGGGATTGTTGTAGAGTTGGAACTGGGCCCTGACATAAAACTGAGGTCTCATTTAGGATTCAGAAGATTTCTAAGGCTTATGTTGTGTTTAGCCAAAGTCCCACTCCTGGTTTAGAGAAATAATTCCCCTAATTGCTAAGGCCTCATATTTGATCCTACTGATATCTGCTCAGTGAGGGCCAATCCATCCAGAGTCTGAAGGGTCCAAATTTAGAAAGATACAGTGAGGTCATAGCGAAGGGACAGCAGCTCCCCACCCTGGTCCTTCAGATCATAGATAAGCTTAGAGTCTTCACCATATTTTCCAGTTAGTGTTTCCTGGAGAAAACATAAAGAAATACGGTCATACTAATAAATATAACAATTTAAAAGGAAGGTTTTAAAAAAAATTTTATTTTTATACTAAAAGGAAGTTTCAAAAATAAAAACCCACCACTTTAACATGACTGATTTCAACTCATCTACATTTCCCTCTGCTCTTTATCCCAATTCTTAGGTGTTTGATGTAGTTATAATCAAAAGGAAACACCAATTTTGTGTTGATTTTTTCATTTCCATTTTATGACTGAGCTGAAGTATTACTATTAAAAGATGCATAATATTCTAGTAAGAAGAAGCTCTGTACCTACCTCCTCCCTAATTATACTGTTAGTACAGAGGTAGCTCTGTACCTACCTCCTCCCTAGTTATACTGTTAGATGTTTAGATTATTCCAATTTTTTTTTTTTTTTTTTGAGACAGAGTCTCACTTTTTTGCCCGGGCTAGAGTGAGTGCCGTGGCGTCATCCTCGCTCACAGCAACCTCAGACTCCTGGGCTCAAGCAATCCTTCTGCTTCAGCTTCTCGAGTAGCTGGGACTACAGGCATGCGCCACCATGCCCAGCTAATTTTTTTCTATATATTTTTAGTTGTCCGATTAATTTCTTTCTATTTTTAGTAGAGACGGGGTCTTGCTCTTGCTCAGGCTGGTATCGAACTCCTGAGCTCAAACAATCCGCCCGCCTCGGCCTCCCAGAGTGCTAGGATTACAGGCGTGAGCCACCGCGCCCGACCTATTCCAATTTTTTAAAAAAGTTTTCATAACATTTCAATAAACATACTTGGATACATAGTTTTTTCTTTTTTAAAATATTTTTCTTAAGCATAAACTCCTAGGAGTGGGTTATTAGACCAACAAACATGTTTTTATGATGCCTGAGATTTGAACAATGTCAAAAGCCAAAACTGAGACTGTCTGAAGGATATTACAGCAGTCCTTGCCCTGTGATGTCTTTAACAGGTGATAACATATTTCACTTAACAGATTGGCAAAGATGAACAAGTCTGAAATTTCCCAGTGTGTAGAATAAGAAACACTCACACACTGGTATTATGAGCTGAATTATGTCCCCTGACCCGCTAAATTCATATGTTGAAGTCCTAACTCCCAGTAACCTCAGAATACGACTGTATTTGGAGACAGGGTCTTTAAGTTAAAATGAAGTCGTAAGGGTGGGCCCTAATCTTATATATCATTTTAAGAAGGGAACATTTAGACAGACACAGACAGAGGGAAGATGATATGAAGACAAAAAGAGACAATAGCCATTTATAAGCCATGGAGAGAGTCCTGGAACAGATCCTTTCCTCATGGCCCTCAAAAGGAACCAACTTTGCCAACACATGATCTCAGACTTATGGCCTCCGGAACTGTGAGAAAATAAATTTCAAGTTGTTTAGGCCACCTAGCCTATGGTACTGTTATGGCAATCCTAGCAAACTAATACGGCAGGTAAAAATATTCCTGTAAATATATACAACTATATATCAATGAAAAAACAATTATATATCAATGAAAAAACAGGTATTAATAATGCAAGGAATAACAATTAACAAATAATTTCAAATAGTCATCATCTAAAGGGAATAAAATAGGTCAATGTGATAGAGGGAGAGGGCTACTTTAGACAAGGTAGTTGGAGAAGATTATTTGAGGAGTAGCATTTTAGCTGAGCTCTGAAATTAAAATCTGCAATCTCAACTTAATCTGAAATTAAGTCATGCAAACAGCTGGGGAAAAGGGAGTTCAGGAAAAAGGTAGAGCAAGAACAAGGGCCCTGGGCTAGAGACACATTTAGTATGTTCCATGAATAGAAATAAGACTGAGTAGCATGGGGTGGGCAAGAGGAAGAATAGCATGAGATGAGGTGCGAAAGGCAGTGGCCAGATCACTGAGGGCACTGCAAACCTGAGTAAAGAGTTTGGGTTGTATTATCAATGCAATGGGAATCACTGGGTTTTAAGCAGGGAGTGATGCAACCTGGTTTTGTTTGTCTTAAAGACAAGGTCTCATTTTGTTGCCCAGGCTGGAGTGCAATGGCTACTCACAGGTGCAATCATGACACACTGCAACCTCAAACTCCTGGGCTTAAGTGATCCTCCTGCCTCAGCCTGCTGAGTAGCAGGGACTACAGATTCAGTACCACCACATCTGGCTGCAATTTGGGTTTTAATAGCAAAGAACTAGAAACCACCACAAGCTCCATCAATATGGTTATGTATTTATACTTTATATATATACGGTCTGCATGTATCTAGAAAACATCCCAAGTACAGGCACCATGGAATTCAATGTAGACAGGAACCAGAACAACTTTCACTCCTAAGAAGGGTTCTCTTTGGGGAGCTGCTGGCCACACCAAGATAAATAAAAGGCGGGGCCTCTCCCTCCAAGCCAGTCCTGTCCTTGTTCTCACTGGAGAAAATACTGGTCTGTGTCCACAAAAGGAGTGGAGCCTTTGAGTCCTCAATCTCTTGTCACTCTCTTGTTACTCATTTACCCCCTCTTCCACCATGCAGTTTCCCCTTACTCATCCCTCACCTTTAGTTCAAACACAGGTGTATCAATTACTTCTGCACCATGGCGCTTGAAGCAGCGGATGATTACATCAAACACTTTCTCCCGAACTGCCATCTGCCGGGGACTGTAGTCTCTTGTGCCCTTGGAGTCAAAATCAGCCAAAGAACCAGAGATGAGACTTTAAAACAAGAACAATGAGATCTGGAAACATAAACGATTGACCTCAACAATGAGGAAAGCGAATGTTGCCCTAAACAAATTTTCCTATAGGCCACTGAGTTGTAAAACAAGTACAAATATTTCTCTTTTAATTCCCACACCCATTTGCTATCCATCTTCTAAATTCCATTCCCTTTTAAGCTTGGTTCTATTTTCTAGAATTCTCAGAACTCTTCTCTCTAAGCAGTTTGTCTAAAAACTTTCTGGGATAACAGAACATTTCCCTGCCTAATAGAAAACACTTACCCAATAACAGGCATATAAGCAACTTAAATTGGCTCAACTAGTTGAATTCCAAATTTTACAAGCAATTTTCCTTTTTAAACGTAACTTTTCTTTGAAGTCCTAATTAATACTGTTTGTTCTCTAATTTTTTTCTGGTAACAGCCCTATGACATAGGCTGGGCAGACACATTTTATAGATGAATTAATTACAGGATGTTGAGAAGTTAAATCATTACTGATAGCCACTCCACATGTTTGTGGCAGTCAGAATCAGAACTGTGTTCTCCTTCTAGTTCACAGCTCTAGTCTGGACGTTTACTCCCTACTCCAAAGTCTTTGGTTTCAGAACCTCTTTATATTCTTACTATTATTAAGGACGCCAGAGTGGATTATACCTATCAATGTTTACTGTATCAGAAATTAAAACTGCAAAAATTTAAAAATATTTATTTAACAAATATTATTTATTAAACTCATTTAATCAATAATAAATCCATTACATATTAACACACATAATATTTAAGGAAAATGTAACTATTTTCCAAAACAAAAAAGATTTAGTGAGAAGACTGGCATTGATTTATATCTTTGCAAATTGTTAATGTCTGGCTTAATAGAAGATTCTCATATATGCTTTTCATATTCAATCTATTATGGTATGTTGTACTGGTTGAAATACATAAAGAAAATCTAACCTTACACAGATATGTAGCTGTAAAACGAGGAGTATTTTAATAAACTTTTCAGCTAACTGTGGGTATTTTTTCATACTATAACAAAATCCAGCAAATGGTAGTTTCTTAAAGATGGGTTGCAATGTGGAATCCGAAAGCTGTATCAATGAACTTTCATATTGTTACATTAAAATCCATTAGTCTCTCACTTATACGAAGTACCTAGAATAGTCAAATTCATAGAGACAGAAAGTAGGATAGTGGTCACCAGGCGCTGAAGTGGGGGGTTATTGTTTCAGTTTAGGATGATGAAAAAATTCCAGACATGGATAGTGGTGATGGTGATACAACAATGTGAATATACTTCATGTTACGGAACTTTACACTTAAAAATCATTAAAATGGTAATTTTTACGTTATGTAATATTTTTCCACAATAAAAAAAAATCCATTACTTTATCTTGTACTTTGAAAGGATCCTTTACCCATCAATGATTTATAACATCATATATTGGTCATGTGGAAAATACTGGTTCACTGATAATAGTTATACAGTTCTCCCAAATGTTGATACATTTCATTATCAGAAAACCATATTTGTTAATATCACCAAGGATCTCATCAGGAAAGTCTAATTATTAAGAAGCTGTCAAGCTCATGGTGGAAGATACTAATTATCTAAAATTCTAACTTTTAATTGAATGCTTAAATTTTATCAATGGCGACAAATGCTGTCAGATGTTTTCCTTGAGGTGACAAGGCTTACTTTGTTCATTTTTGTAAAAATGTCCATCAAATAATCAAGTCTGCAAAATCATAATTTGGCTTTGTGGTTCATTCAAATTAAAAAGGTGTTTTATGAAAAAAGTAGCTATTAATAGTTCAGCTCACAACTCAAACAAGGGCATAAGCATTTCCCCTACCTTGGAGTGCAACAGAAATGCTTTATGTGTACTTCCCATTTCATCATAGTGAATATTTAAAAAGAGGGTATCAGGAGTCAAGATTCAGTAAAATTAATTTTTACTGTTTAATCAAAGATATTCTTAAGACTGAATTTTTTTTTTTAACTGTGAGTGCATGGCAGTAAAGAACATACTGACTATTAGCACAGTTTAGTGGCACTGTTTGATTCATGCTAAGGCACTAGCAGTTCTACTCACCAGTGCTTTTGCACCTTTAAAATAATACAAATGTTAACACCGTGAAAAAGGCAAATAAAATTTTAGTATTATCAGAGTCTTATCCCGACAATACTGAGTTTTCTATTGTTAATGTGAATCACGTGTCAAGAAATGTATTTCAACAAACTAAAGTGGATATTAACTCTCCAGCATAATCTTATTTTATTTTAACATTATATTATGGAAATTTTCAAAGACACAATATAGAGAATAGTATTATATTATAGATCACCCTGTATCCATTACCCAGCTTCAACAACCATTAACATCTGCTATTCTTTGCCATTTAAACTCCAACATTTTTTTCTGATATATTTTAAAATAAATCCCAGATATCATATCATTTCATCCACAAATACTTCAGTATGATTCTCTAACACATAAAGACTTTTAAAAAAACCAAAGCACTTAATACATTATAACCAACAAAACTAACAATTCTTTAATATTATCTAATCCTAAGCCATGTTCAATTTTCCCCAATTGCCTCAATAATATCTTTTTATGGTTGGTTTATTCGATTCTAAGTGAAGTCTATGTGTTGTATTTGGCTGATATGTCTATTAAATCTATGATAACTTTCTCTCCCTTTTTAAAAAAATTTGTTGAGGAAATTGAGTCATTTTTGTCCTAAAAATTTTTTCATATTCCAGATTTGGTTAACAATATCTTAACATGTAATTTAACATGTTCCTCCATCTCCAGTATTTCCTGTAAACTGATAGTCCAAAGACCTGATTAGATTCAGGCTCAACTTCACTTGGCAAGAATACTTCATAGGTGGTGCTGTGTACTTCTTATTGCATCACATCAGCAGGAACATGTTTTGTTGTCCTACTTTTAGTGATGTTAAGACTGATCATTAGGTTTAGGTGCGGACAGACTGATCTGTCATAAATTCCCCATTAAGTTTTTCACCTAATCGTTTGAATAATCATTGATCGTCACTGCTTTTGGATTTTACACTATTTCTTTTTCTTTTTTTTTGAGACAGAGTCTTGCTCTGTTGCTCAGGCTAGAGTGCTGTGGCGTCAGCCTAGCTGACAGCAACCTCAAACTCCTGGGCTCAAGCGATCCTCCTGCCTCAGCCTCCCAAGTAGCTGGGATACAGGCATGTGCCATAACAGCTGGTTAATTTCTTTCAATTTTTTTAGTAGAGATGGGGTCTTGCTCTTGCTGAGGCTGGTCTCGAACTCTTGACCTCAAGTGATCCTCCCACTTCTTCAGCTTCCTAGAGTGCTAGGATTATAGGTGTGAGCCACCACACTCGGCCTACACTGTTTCTTTAACCCTTGAAAATGAGTTGTCTGTGGAAAGGAACAGCTCAATGAATTTAGGAGCCTAAAGAATTAACCTTAACACAAGGAAGACAGACCATCTCCCCTCTCCTTTGGAATTCAATCTCAAATACGTTTATTTATTTATTTATTTATTTGAGACAGAGTCTCACTCTGTTGCCCAGAGTAGAGTGCCGTGGCGTCAGCCTAGCTCACAGCAACCTCAAACTCCTGGGCTCAAGTGATCCTCCTGCCTCAGCCTCCCGAGTAGCTGGGACTACAGATATGCACCACTATGCCTGGCTAATTTTTTTTCTATATAGATTTTTAGTTGTCCAAATAATTTCTTTCTATTTTTAGTAGAGATGGGGTCTCGCTCTTGCTCACCTGGTCTCGAACTCCTGACCTTGAGTGATCCACCCGCCTCGGCCTCCCAGAGTGCTAGGATTACAGGCGTGAGCCACTGCGCCCGGCCCAAATACGTTTATTAAATACAATTATCCCTAGGTATCTGAGTGGGATTGGTTCCAGGACCCCTGTGCATACCAAAATCTGAGGATGCTCAAATCCCTTATATAAAATGGCATAGTATTTGCATACAACCTATGCACATCCTCCCATATACTTTAAATCATCTCTACATTACTTATAATACCCAGTATAAAGCAAATGTTATATAAATAGTTGTTATGCTATATTTTTTATTGTTGTATTGGGTTTTAAAAAAATTGTTGTTTTTTTTCTCCCGGAATGTTTTCAATCTGCCATTGGTTGAATCTATGGATGTGGAACCCTGAATGTGAAAGGCCGACTATACCTATTTAGGCACCTAGTCTCAGTCTCTCGGGGTAAATAAAGCACATGAATAACTACTTAAAGTCAGTGCAATAATAGAAATACGTATGCTGTGCGAAAGGAACCTAAATGAAGGAGTAAATAATTCTGTTTATAAAACTTACATAAAATGGCATTTGAACTGAACCGGAGGATGGGCCAAGAATCTCCAACCTCATTCCACTATACCCTCCCTCTTTATTTGGTTCTAGTCATATAGGTCGTCTTCTAGTTCCTGAAAACTACCAAAGCCCATTCCTGCTTCAGGGTTTCCATATTCTACCTGGACCTACCACCTTCTTCACACTATTCCCTGGCTATCTCCTACTCATCTGTTAGGTCAGTTAGTATAATACTTCTTTACTGAGGCTTTCTCAGATTCCCCAGTTCTCCCTTATTTTTCTCAGAGCATAATTGTTAATTTCTTTATGTCATTTATCACAATTTGTAATTCCATACCCATGTGTGGGATTATTTGCTCTAAGTTTGTCTCCTTTAGTAAAATGTAAGCTCCCTAGGGGCAGACTATATTATCCACCATGGTATATTCAGCACTAGGGACACAGTAAGCACTCAATAAATATTTACTGAATGAAAGGAGGAGCAGCAGCAGCAGCTGACTCCCCTGATCACCCAGCTAACCTAGTTTCTGCCATCACTACGCCATCCCAGAATGACTCAGGTAGAGTCCAGTCCAGCCCAGTGCCCTGAGCAACTGTCTTTTTCAGTATTTCAGATTCTCCTCAATGACTGGTTCACGGAAGCAGACATAAGTGCCCTTGTGAGTAGAATTAGGGACCCTCTTAGAGGCTCCCTACAGGGATGATATTACCTTGGGGGTTTTGAGCACAAACTTCTGTTTGCTTTCATCAGGGCCCAGCTGTGCTTTCAGTTTCAGGAGTTTTGACACCTCCTCCTCGATCTGTGGAGGGAAAGAAGGCGCTGGGTTATCCACCTGTCACTGTCCTCCCTCCCTCGCCATTCATTCAATATTCTTCTCTCATTAGGATCTGTGGAAGATCTCTCTGCTCGAGCCTAGCTTTGCTTCTTTCAGGACCCACCCGGGATACCTCCCTAACCAGCCCATCCTCCTCCCTAACAGCCCGGTCCCTTCCCCCATATCCCTGTCCTGTGTCCAGACTACCCCGGCTTTATGTCCTCCTTGGCTTTGCCTTGGCCTCTCCCCTGCCACCTTGGTCGCACCTGCTCGGCGCTAGCCTTCTGCTGCTTGAGGCCCCGCACGCGCTCTCCCTGAAGTCTCACTAGCTCCTCCAACGCCGCACGCTCAGCCATCCTAGCTGCCAACTTGGAGATGACTACTGTCTGGATCGGCGGCGGTAGCCTCAGCCCGGATGACTTCCGGCTATAGAGTCGCGGGCCCGCACGCCTAGAGAGCCTCCATCGAGTACAAAAATAACTTCCGGCTACTACCGGAAGTGCCCAAGCTGCTTGCAAAGGGAGCTTCGGAGTTTCGGAACCCGTACTACAGGACCCGTGAGGTGTACAAACGTTCCCGTCTTCCGTAGAGCTCGGGCTTCACCTCTACGGCAGCCAGCACTTTTCCTGGGGTCCGACCTGCCTCATTCCCAGGCCTTTGGCTCCTGTCCCAGAAAGCCGGCGTCCTGCTGCGGGATGCCCCAGCTCAGACTCCTGCCCAGGAGAGTCTGGGCTGCCCTGCTCAGCCAGCTCCTGCGACCTCCCTGCGCTTCTTCCCCAGGGGCGGTCCACTGTCATAGCCAGGTGAGCGAGATTGAAGAAGCTCCGATCTGTCACGGCTGAGGCCTCCAGGTGTGAAAGCATGGACTCGCAGCCTGTATTCCAGTAGTATTGCCTCGGTTTTTATTGAGTGCCTACTATGTACCTGCACTGAACTAAACATTTTGGATGCTTTGTCACTTACTCCTTACAGCAATCTTGAGAGATTAGGGTTTTTATTTTTACTTTATAGTTGAAGAACCGGAGGCTGCAAGGTTAAATGACATATCTACTGATACATAGTAAAGGAGTGTTTTAATACAGATCCACGCTCCTGTATCTGAAACTCTTGGAGTCAAGCATAGTAATATTTCTTAAACAAAATATATCGACATTCCCACTAAGCTGAGATGACTAAAGGCCATAAGTAGACTGAGTTCACATTAAAATTAACCCCAAAATGAATCTCAAAATTTTCAGATTTCAGAGATTTTTGGATTTTGGAATTGCAAATGAGGGATTGTGGACTTGAACTTCTTTTGGGGGAGAAAATCGACATAGTATAGAACTACCTCACCCTCTATTTCTGGAAGAACATACAACCTGTTGGTAAAGTCACTGATTCTGTTTTGCTTTACTTGGGAAAGACTCTGTTTTCCTCTTAACAGATGCTTTGTGCTATCATGAACAACAGGGCTCAGATTTTTTATTAATATTCAGTTTCCCAGCATCTTACTAGTCTGGGTTTTTGAGTTCAATCAGGAAATCCATTTCTTTTTATTCCACAGGCTTGTCTGTGTCCTTGGGTTGGTTCTCTTGTCTTCAAGTTGTATTTTCCCTATCTCCAAACCTGATAACCAGTGCTACCTTAAAAATACTTATTTTTTCTGTTTGAATAGGAACTGAGAACTGCAGAAGATCATAATAATCTCTACCCCTAAATGGTTTGGTGGTTGTAATGGTGGGTTATTCTGTAACTTCGTTGTTCTCAGCTGCTTAAACTTTTTGAGACATTTCAAAACTCCAAATATAGTGAGGAAGCTTTTGTAATGAAGACCTGACCTCATATATACTACATGTGTAATTGTAGATAGAACTCGGGTTTTTAGAGGTGGGGCTGAGATTGGGATAGGTGAAATAATGCTCTGACTTCCTATTGCTCAGGGTCAAGAGTTTTTGCAGTTTGGTGATCCAGAGAGTCAGAGATGTCACAGGCATTGCCAGTGTCCAGAGGAGCCACATCTCCCATTCCTTTTTCTGCCAGGTTGCAGAGGCAGTGTTAATACCCCAACTGAAACCACATCAAGACAAACCAAATTTTATTATCAAGACTCCAAAGGTAATGTTTTTTGCTCACCCTATCCCATTAGAGTGCCTGGAAGGACTGACCTCTGCTTTGCTCATCTCTGTGACCCCTTTTAATGTCCTCTTCAACTAAATTAAAAACAAAACAAAAAAACAAACAAAAAACCCATCTGTTATTCTTGAGATACTGGGCGGGGTTCAGAGTCATCTGAATTCAAGAAGTGTCAGATCCAGACTTTAACGTAAAGGTATAGTTAACTCCTTGTCTTAAATGGACTTATTTTTTGTTTTTGCTTTCACTGTGTCTGCTTTTGGTTTCTAGGGCACCAGGGATCTTAGTCCCCAGCAGATGGTTGTGAGGGAGAAAATTCTTGATTTGGTTGTCAGCTGCTTTAAACGTCATGGAGCAAAGGGATTGGATACCCCAGCATTTGAGCTAAAGGTAAGGGGAGAAGAAAGACTGCCTGGAACCCCATTTATTCACCTGTCTTTAGTATCTCAAAGGGCTTTTCCTCTGTGTTTTGGAGTCATCCTTTGAACTGTGGCTTTTTCTGTTTGACCCCTGCAGGAAGTGCTCACTGAGAAGTATGGAGACGACTCTGGGCTCATTTATGATCTGAAGGATCAAGGTGGAGAGCTGTTGTCCCTTCGCTATGACCTTACTGTATCCTTCTGAGTGCTGGAGACTGATCTATCACTTTCCAAATCTAGAAGGCTTTCTCTGACAAGAAGGAGGAGAGTGACTCTGGGACCCCATAGGTCCACTGATAGCAGCAATTACTTCCAGTTTCTACCAGAAGGCAATTCTGTCAGTGGAGCCTGGCCTGGAGCCCTGTCATTGAACTTTAATGTGTATCAGAATCCCTTGGGGGGGCTTGCAGAGACACAGATTCCTGGCCACAGCTCCAGAGATTCTTAATTCTGTAGTAGGGCTCAACAATCTGCCTTTTAAACAGGCATCCTGGGTAATTAAGATTCATGTGGTCCTTGGCCTACACTTTCAGAAATGGCTTAGAAGTCGTAGGCAAATGCAGGTTCAGAAACTTGACTATTTTAAGATGGTTGGAAATTGATCTGAATGGGAGGAAATGGCCCAGACCTGAATTAGTTCTTGGGTCTTTTCAATCTCTGCTTCCCCTGTTTTCTGCTGAACTTTTACTTATGCTTGGAGAGATTCCCTCATTTGATGCTATTCAATGTATATTGAATGCCAAGGACTGCTAGGTCGTGGGGATAGTGGGAAACAATACAGAGAGGGTCCATGTTCTCATCCTAGTGGATGAGATCTAACTGATAGAGGTCCAGTCCCCCCTAGTATCTGTATACTGGGCCTAAGCCTTGGATGCAGTATCCTTCTTCCTTAACCTATTTATATGAGGTCCCTTTTGCTCGTTATCTGGCCATGAATAAATTGAAGAAGATGAAACGCTATCATGTTGGAAAGGTGTGGCGGCGGGAGAGCCCAACTGTGGTTCAAGGCCGCTACAGGGAATTCTGCCAATGTGTAAGTGACCTGACTGGAGCAGCACAGTTTGATGGTTCTGGGGGCCACATCCTTGGAATTGGCTGATTAGTGGAGGTTTCTTCCTATCTTTTTCTTTGTTGTAGGATTTTGACATAGCTGGTCAGTTTGACCCTATGATCCCTGATGCAGAATGTTTGAAGATCATGTGTGAAATCCTAAGTGGTCTTCAGCTGGGGGACTTTCTCATTAAGGTGAGGCCAGAGCTGAGGACTGGGTGAGAAGTCTGGATTTGGCCTGATACTGTTAATGCAAGTCCTAAACATAGGTGACCCCAGCCTGTAAGCCTGAAGCTCTAGGACCTTCTTATTCTAGCTGTTGCATTTCCTACATAGGTACTCTTCCTTTGAGATTTCCTTTCCATCCTTTTTATGAGTCAGGAGAGTAGGTACTGCCATTGTTTTGAGGGAAAAGACATTGACAGAGCACTTGGGTTACTTACAATGAGTTCACAGGTCAATGACCGGCGGATTATGGATGGAATGTTTGCCGTCTGTGGTGTTCCTGAAAGCAAGTTCCGTGCTATCGGCTCCTCAATAGACAAACTAGACAAGGTAACAAAGTAGACATCCTTCAGTAGATCCTATCTAGTTCCTGCCCTGCCCTCAAATCCATACCTGTAGAGAAAAGTAAGGAAATGATGGTTGGAATTGGGCCATTTATGGGAGGAAGGTAAGGAGACATTCTGAAGCAAGATCTGAGTTGTCCTGTATGGGATTGTGGCTGGATTTTTTTCTTTCTTTCTTTTTTTCAACTAACACCTTGCTCTGTGGAAGTGGCTGGCTTTCTTAAATTGTCTCTGACTTTGCTGAGTATACTATTAGCTACTTGTGACATACATACTGAACGAAAGTGAGATGTCCGTTTCCAGTTTGAGAAAGAAGGATCTTGGGGCTGGGCTAATGTTTGGGTGTTTATGCAGATGTCTTGGAAAGATGTGAGACATGAGATGGTGACAACGAAAGGCCTGGCTCCTGAGGTGGCTGATCATATTGGGGATTATGTCCAATGTCATGGTAAGAACCAGGGTTTTCGGAGCTGTGATAGAACCAGGCTGTGGGTGGTATGTGCTCAACTTCTACCTCTGAAACACCTCCTTTCTGTAGATATGCTAAGCTCCAGAGCCTGCCCTGAATTTAATTTTCCTTTTAACTTATTTTAACCACTTTGTGTCTTAGGATGGCAAAGGTGGAGGCAGAGAAGGAGGATCTGGTCACATGAGACCAGTATCATCTTCTTTTAAGAAAGTGAGGAGGACTAGCTAGAAGCTAGAGCACATTAGGGATATATTTGGATGAAATACATCTGGGTGAACAGGACAGACCATATGTGTCCTCAGGTGGGGTAACCCTGGTAGAGCAAATGTTCCAGGATCCCAGACTATCCCAGAACAAGCAGGCCCTGGAGGGCCTGGAGGACCTGAAGCTGCTGTTTGAATACCTGACTTTGTTTGGAATCTCTGAAAAGGTAAGCTGAGTTGAGAGTGGACCTCCTGCTGAGCTCTGGGGCTCTCAGGGTTCTGAATCTAGTTTGGGACTGACTGTAGCCTTGTTCCCACAGATCTCCTTTGACTTAAGCCTGGCTCGGGGCCTGGACTACTACACAGGAGTGATCTATGAAGCCATACTGCTGCAGTCCCCAGCTCAGGCTGGGGAGGAGCCCCTGAGCATGGGCAGTGTGGCTGCTGGTGGGCGCTATGATGGGCTGGTGGGCATGTTTGACCCCAAGGGCCACAATGTGCCATGTGTGGGGCTCAGCATTGGGGTAGAGCGCATATTCTCCATTGTGGAGCAGAGGATGAAGGTAGGTCTGAGGTAGGAGTGAGGTAGAGCAGGAGGTCTAAAAGCCTTCCTGTTTTTAGAGGTGCAGTTGCACTGTTTTTCTGATGATTCTTTTTGTCTTGTTTTTTGGAATTGTTGATGCAAAGGAAGTTTTTATTAGTTTTACTTTCCTCTCTCTCATCAGACTTCAGGTGAGAGTGTACGGACCACAGAGACCCAAGTGTTTGTGGCCACACCACAGAAGAACTTTCTACAAGAACGGTTGAAGCTAATTGCAGAGCTTTGGGATGCGGGGATCAAGGTATGGTGGAGCTAATATCTGAGTCTGGGTAATTTAGGAACCAGGTTCATTTTTAACTTATGCCTAGGGTGGAACTCCATTCATTTTTAGTCTAACTACTAGAGTGGCTGATTATGGTAGGAGGGCTAGCCACTTATTTCTGGCTTCTTTGGAAATACTTATTTCTGGGGTTTGTGTGCTGTGGTCACTTCTAAGTCCTTCCCTCTTTTCAGGCAGAGATGCTATACAAGAACAACCCTAAATTATTAACCCAGCTGCACTATTGTGAGAACACGGGCATTCCCCTGGTGGTCATTATTGGTGAGCAAGAACTGAAGGAAGGGGTTATCAAGCTCCGTTCAGTGGCCAGCAGAGAGGAGGTGAGTGGGGGCAGCAGAAATAGAAGGGACCAAGTGTTTCTATTTTTCCCAGATTCCTTAAGAAATATGTATCTTCTGGCTGAGGAAATATCATCAGGGTGAACAGTGATAGAGATGAATGCAGACCCACCCCCAAACAACCATTGTAGCCCGTGAACATTGGCTGAGTGGGCAGAAGAAAGACAAATGAAATCTGAATGGGTATTTTAAGACTAATCAACAAAACTGACATAGATCAGGTGTTTAAATTTTTTTATTCTTGAGTGTATACATTCCCTAGGTCAGCTTGAAGCTCACACTACTTCATACTGGTTGTATAAATAGTGGAAGTGGATGCAGAGTAAAATGAATCTGGAAAGACAGTGGCTAAGGAGCTAGTATCACTTTCTAGTTTGTCACATGAAGATTCTCTTCTGTTTCAGGTCGCCATTAAACGTGAAAATCTTGTGGCTGAAATTCAGAAGCGACTGTCTGAGGCTTGATTGTTGCCTGATTGCCTCTGTTGCTCTTTGCAGAAAAGGTTTCCTCTAGAGCAGAGTTTCTGATGGACTTTATAACAGCTGGCCAGGATGGGTGACAAGGGCCTTCTGCCTCCTCCATCCTTCCTGGGTACAGAATTGTACAAGGCCCTGAAGACTCCTGGGCTAGTGTAAGCAGCTATTCTGCATGGGTGCAGATGGCTGATATGTGAAAGAGACATGCTATAGCTGCAGAGGCAAATTTGAAGTGCCACTGAATGCTGTCAAGAGGTGCTGAGATGGTTGCTATGAGCAAGGCTCTGGGAGACTCACCTCAGGCTGACGATTCTGAACTGTTGAGATCAGAAGCCAGAACTTAGCCTTCTGCTCCAGCTTCACAGCCAGATTCTGGAGAATTTGTCCACAACCAGCCCTTGGCCTATCCAGGGAGTTTTGGGAAGACAACAGGGAGGGGCAATGGCTGCTTTTTGCTTTGTTTGAGGACAGAGATGCTATCCCAAGGGCATGGCAGTACCCATATTGATTTGGCATCTCTCCGGGGCCATCCACTGCTAACAGATAGCAGGGTGGAGCTATCTGTTTAATGATCTTGAACATTGAACTTAACAGGTGACTTGAGAAGGCAGAGATATGATCTTTTGAGATTTTGGAGACCATTTCCTGTGCCAGAATCACAGCTCCGACTATTCCATGCCATGGAGACTGTTCTAGAAGTGGTTGGATAATATGTTAAATAAAATATTAAGTGTAGTAATTTGGGTAATTTGTTATCAAGGGGTTGGTTTGCATAGACCATAGGAAATGCTTGAGTGCACACTGGATAATTCTATGAGCTAGGAGTAACCTTCCTGGGGTGATACTTCAGTGAAGGGAGCAGCCACAGTCTCTCCCTTCTTTCCCTCCTTCCCTCAATTTGGAGATAACAGTTATATCACTAAGAATCAACAGTGAGTCTTCTGCCAGAGTGCTTCATTCTAGAGCAGCGGCCCCCAGTCTTTTTGGCACCAGGGACCATTTTCATGGAAGACAATTTTTCCATGGACTGGGGAGCGGGGAATGGTTTTGGGATAATTTGAGTGCATTACATTTATTGTGCACTTTATTTCTATTATTATTACACTGTAATATGTAAGGAAATAATTATACAACTCACCATAGACTGGGGACTCCTGCTCTAGAGTGTTGCTGATTGACTGGCCTTCCCAAGTCTAATTACGTTGATTAAATTGTGCCCTACAGATTGAATGACTCTAATGTTCCCCAGTTGATGGAATAATGAGTTAACCAAAAGGCGATAGCATTGCTTCAAAGAAAAGAGCCCAAGTGCAAAACGTGCTTTCTATATGTGCATTGGGAATGGTGCAGCTGTTGGAAACACTTTAGTGTAGCTTAGGGCCATATCGCCAGTGCATGCAGGTGAAGGGGGGCCATTTAGAGCCCCTAATAGCAGCACTTCAGCCTTAAAGAAGGTTAGAAATACAAGCAAGGTTGATTAGACTAGATCGGAGCTCACTGTTTCCGAACCTCAGTTTCCTCGTTCATTACATAGCTGAACTAAATCTATCGGCCCGCCCTTCAATGCTTGTTTTGAAAGCCGAAGCAAAAAAACGTTTGCGGGCGCCCTTACTTCCGTGTTGCTTCATACTCCTCTTGCGCCTGCGCCGTCTCCTAGGAACGGAGGCGGGGCCAACAAGCGTGTTTTAGAAGTCCTCCAGTGCTTCAGCTCTGTTAGAACACGAGACTCTAAGCTTACTGGAGAGCCATCTTGCCTTACGGCACCAGGCCGCTTTTTACGGCATTTTCCGCCTTGCCATTCACTTCGCTGTGAAGATGGCGTCGGGCAGCGGGGTAGGTGTTGTGTGTGAGGAGGCGGTGGTTTGAGGGTGGGAGGTGGCTTCTCAACGCTGAATAGAGACAAACTCCTGCACTAGAGACTGGCTTCCCGACGCTTCCTCGAGATCCCAGGGTCTGGATTCGAGAACTCCGCCGTAAGGCCCTGGAACAGGGTCAGTGGAGTCGCGGAGGTCTCTCAGGTTGGGTTCCTGAGGCTACCTCAGCCTCCTAGTGCGGTTCGGAGAGGCTTCTCTTTCGGAGGGTCCTGGGGCCGCCTTGGAGGCGAGGACGCGGTTCCCTCAGTTTGTGTAGGGGTCCGGACACGATTGGCGACGGACCTTGAGCGCTTTTTTTCCCCACAGACAAAAAACTTGGACTTTCGCCGAAAGTGGGACAAAGATGAATACGAGAAACTTGCCGAGAAGAGGCTCACGGAAGAGAGAGAAAAGAAAGATGGTGGGTCCTTGCTCCATCAAGATTTAAGGGTATTTTAGAAGTGATGCAACGAGTGTAGGGAGCGGGGAGAGTTGAAATGCGCTGCCCTCCTATGCAGTGTAACTGTCAGAGTGTTGCCACCGTGGTCCTTGGTTTCTACATGTATAAAATGGGAGCGAGGAGGTGGACTGAAGTGGTTTTGAGGTGCTTTTCAGTTCTGTTGTCCTCTGCTTCCTTGCCTTCCCTTTACTTGGCTTATTTAGTGCTTTCTTGAAGTACAGAGAGGAGAGCGGAATCCTTAGTAGTGACAGAGAAGAAGTTAGGTGGAGTATTTTGTTGCTGTTCATTACTGCTGTCGATGACCCCAGTTTTTCCCTTGAAATGTCTTAAAGGGGAGAGCGTTCCTGGCCTAGTCAAGAACCTCTCATATAGTCTAAACAGGGATATCTTCCGGGAACTGATTGTTTCAGCTTGTACTAAGTAGTGCTGTTTCTGCGTGCCTTGTACAATGTCAGGAAGTTAGCGCTCCTCTCCTAGGTAGGGATTACTCTTTAGGAAAAGTCTTATTTTGTCATCTGTTTCAAACTTGTATATTCTTCTTTCCTTTTACGTGCCAGCTCACACACACTAACCCTTTTAGTTTTTATGTAATATGAATAATAAATAGTTCTTGACATGTAACAGGTATATGTTGGTCCCCCTTTTTAAAAAATTTGACCGAGCTCTCAGGGGTTTTTCTGTGTTATGCTTAGGATATCTGCCTGAAAGCATTACTGAGTGTCCTTGCTCCTCTTTTGAAATGGATGCTTCTAGAAAAAATTCAGAACTTCTCCCTTCCATTCAGTTAATCAATAAATGGAAAACATATTGCTTTTAGAATTGCTGGCTTTAAAGTGAAGAACAGCTGTAGAGAGTTGAGGCTGGCTTATTTTTTTCCTGTGTTGAGATTCTCCCTAGCTGCTGCTTTAAGTATCTGTTGTGTTCCTTTGCTTAGGAATCAAAAAATAAATGAAAGTAGACCTGAATTTTGGGTTTCATGCATTTTTTCCCCTTTTTGGTTGAGGAACTATAATATTTTTTATTATTTATTTTTTTGCACTGGATGTGATAAGAGGGACTATAATATTAAAGGGACTTCTATCCCCATTGTGTTTCAGGAAAACCAGTGCAGCCAGTCAAGAGAGAGCTTCTGCGGCACAGGGACTATAAGGTGGACCTGGAATCCAAGCTTGGGAAGACAATTGTCATTACCAAGACCACCCCACAGTCTGAGATGGGAGGGTGAGTGGCTTTTCGTCTTTTTCTGCAGCCAAGAGTGGATCTAGTAAACTACCTGTGTAGATTTTTGGAAGTGTTAAGGGAGAGTCCTTGGCCCCAGGATTTGATCCTTCTTGCCTATAATTCTAAGGTTTGTTTTTTTTGGTCCCCCAAGGTCTCAAGTTAACATGATAGTGTCTCTAGGAGCATTCACTCTGTGGGCTTTTTCATATTAGCACTGCAACTACTACTTAACATTTTAAAAGGGATTATTTGTTTTGTCAGAGGAAGAAATGAATGAAGGGACTAATGAGATTTCTTTTCCTTTTTTTTTTTTTTTTAAAAAGTCCCCGTAGGGACCGTCAAAAATTGCCAACTATATTGCAAGTTGTCATGATGGGGTATTGGGAAAAGTTTTCAATTAGCAATAGTCATGCCTCAGATAAACCTCATTGTCTACAATATTGCCACTGCACAAAGCTAATGAGGAGATTTCTGAGGGAGAAATTAGGTGGAGCTAGAATGGAGCCTAAGAGTTGTTAATGATGAAGAAAGTGGTTTGAGGTTCCAGGCTAGCTGCAAAGGCTGTAGGAGTTATGGATTGCCTGGTTGTGCACCTTTATCCCAGGCCAAAACTATAGGAAGAAGGGTCCCAAAAGAGCTCATCACCCTTTTGCCCACCACTACTTTTTTGTCCACTTAGGTTTTCTGGCAGGAAGGCAACACAGATAATAATGAGTGATAGTTCTCTGAGCTGCTTAATAAACCCATTGTTGTCATTCCTCCCAGTTATTGCTGTGTAAGTTAACAAATTAATCCAAAGTTGAGCACCATAAGCAACATATAGTTCATAGATTCTTTGGGTAAGGAATTTAGGAGTGGCTTCCCTAGGTGGTTCTGGCTCAGGATCTCTCATGAAGCTGCAGTCAAGGAGTCAGCTAAGTAGGTCTGCATTCTTTTGCATCTTAAGTGGGGCTGGAAGATCTGCTTCCAAGCTTTCTCATATGTCTATGGTTTAGAGGCCTAAGTTCTTTGCCCCATGGGCCTTTGCATAAGGTCACTCACAATAAAGCAACTGGCTTCTCCAGAGCAAGTGATCTGTACACAGATAGAAGGCCTGGTTTTTTTATAACCTAATCTTGGAAGTGGCATACCATCATTTTTGACATATTGTATTGGTCACACAGACCAATCCTGGTACAAATTGGGAGACTACACAGGGTAGGAATACCAGGAAGGTAGGGCTCATTCTGGGGCTTAGAGGATGGCTACCACACTCTCCTGAAAGCTAAGGCTTCATGGAAATGAAAGCTTAACACTTCTAAAAAAGAAGATCCTTAAAACCAGATTTGACCCATGTGCTGTTTCTTCCTGTTTGTTAGATATTACTGTAATGTCTGTGACTGTGTGGTGAAGGACTCCATCAACTTCCTGGATCACATTAATGGAAAGAAACGTAAGGCTTGGAGGTAGTTTATGACTGGGGCTGGGACTGGGTTTTGGAGGTGGATGGAGAAGGGTGAATTCTGTTGGGCCTTTTTTTTTTTTATACCTGGGGAACTCTCCATTTGCTTCAGCACAGGCCATCCTTTACTTCATCATCTAATATTTCTGGCCATGAGGTAAGATACTGTTTTAGGCTCTCAAAAAGCCCAAACCATGTTCTTCCTGGGCCCAGTTGGCCCCACTGGTGCTCATCTGCTCAGTAAGGACAGTTGGAAACTACTTGCATCTTGTTATCCAGGGGTGCTGCTTCTGGGAACGGGTGAGGCCAAGGGAGTTTCTTTTAGCCGTGATTATTTTTGTTGTGGGTAAGAGATAATTTTTCTTTTTTTTTAAGAAGTCAGGAAAAGACTCTGAGGGTCTGAGGATGTTGAAATGACCTTGCCTTCTTCACTGTTGACCCCACTCAGATCAGCGAAACCTGGGTATGTCTATGCGTGTGGAACGTTCCACCCTGGATCAGGTGAAGAAACGCTTTGAGGTCAACAAGAAGAAGATGGAAGAGAAACAGAAGGATTATGATTTCGAGGAAAGGATGAAGGAGCTCAGAGAAGAGGTAAGGCTTTTCTATCCCTCCCCTGATCGGCTTTGAATTTTAGGTTACGAATCATGGGAGGCCCTGTTCCTCATCCCACTCCTACCCCCAGAGTTATATCTCCTTTATTGCTTTTGTTTGGGATTCTCATGTTCTGAAGGAAATGGCTCCAAACCTACCCTTGTCTGCTGGACTCTCTGAACCATACTTTTTTTTGGTAATTATAGATGCTTCTTGATTTATGATGGGGTTTACATCCTGATAAACTCGTCACAAGTTGAAAATGTCATAAGTTGAAATGTATTTAATACACTTAACCTACCAAACATCATAGTTTAACCTAGCCTACCTTAAATGTGCTCAGAACACATTTACCTACAGTTGGGTGAAATTATCTAACACAAAGCCTATTTTATAATAGTGTTGGATATCTCATGTAATTTACGGATTACTGAAACTGAAAAAACAGAATGGTTTTATGGGTACTCCAAGTACAGTTCCCTATTGAATGTTTATTACTTTTAGACCATTGTAAAGTTGAAAATCATAAGGCAAATCATCATCAGTTGGGAATGTCTGTATTCTTTTTAATTTTTTTAAGACTTAATTTTCTAGAGCAGTTTTAGGGTTATAGCAAAATTGAGAGGAAGGTATAGAGATTTCTCACACACTCATACCCCCACACACATGCATAGCCTCCCCCATCTCTTTTTAAAAAAAAAAAAAAAAACTACAGGAAAGATTACATATACCTAGTTCCCCAGAGGCCTGTGGAACCAGGCTGACTGGGTCAGAATTCTGTTTCCTCCACTTACTGCCTTGGGCATGTTATATAACCTCTCTGTGCCTCAGTTTCCCCATATTAGAGATCTCAGTATAACATACATAAAGTACTCAGAACAGCTCCTGATGTGTATTACATGCCTCAGAACGTTCATTGCCGTTAGTTTTGCTCCCATAATTCTATTAAGAACTAGAAATGAACTGGGGTTCATTTCTCATAGGACTGAGAAATTCTCTCCAGAGGCTAAAACTTCTTTCTTATCCTTTATAATCTTTACTGTGGCTTTTGCTCTGCCCTTGAGATTTTTACTTGTGTTTAACAACATTTTCCTAAAGATAGAAAGGAATCTTGAAGCTCACATGTCTCTTTCAGCATTTGGCTGAAGAATCTAAACTGATTCTGAGTGATTTTTCCCCTCTAGGAGGAAAAGGCCAAAGCGTACAAGAAAGAGAAACAGAAGGAGAAGAAAAGGAGAGCTGAGGAGGACTTGACATTTGAGGAGGATGATGAGATGGCAGCTGTGATGGGCTTTTCAGGCTTTGGTTCCACCAAGAAGAGTTACTGAGGCTTTCTATGCTTGGCCTAACTTTGGCCTATGCTGGACCTAACTATGTGCGTGTGTGTGTGTGGGGAGGGCTCATTTCTTTTTGGATACTGGGGAAAGTCCTTTAAGAGTGTCAGTGGGAAGGACTAGAGGGTGGGTGTTTGGTTTCCCTCTACCTTGGGAGAGGGCACGGGATACAAAGGTAATGCTGTGGCACATTCCTTCAGCCTCAGTATATATCACTGGAGTCACAGGACCTCTGCCTATCTGAGTTCCCAATAAAGAAAAACCTCCCCTTCTGAGGCTGCTTCCCCGAAACTCCTGCATCTTTCCCTCTTCATCTATTCCAACCTCTTGTCTGAGCATCCTACCTTTATCCTGTGTTCTGCCTTTTTTCAAATTTTGACTTTTGTTCAGCCTGCAACAGAAGTGATCTCTGGGTCCCCAGTTTGCAGTTGGTGGCATATCCTTGACCAACCCCCTCCT